AAATAAAATAAAATAAAATAAAATAAAATAAAATAAAATAAAATAAAGCAAACAACCTAGCACCTAAATGGGAAAAGCAATGAACACTATTCTTTTTTTGCATCGCTCCAAGTAAGCCCCATCCACAGCCTTTACCATCCCACTGAACCCACTTAGGAAAATCTGACTTTTGTTAAGAATGACTGTACTGAAAGGTAAATCAGTGGGAAGACCAAGTTTACTTCTCTTCTTGAAGGTGGTTTGACCTCTAGAGTATCTATGGTTGTCCTCCAATATCCAATGATTAAGAACTATTTTCTCTTTAAGGTGCGAACTATCAGTCTCAAAGTTTACACAGTAGATGTCATTTTCACAGTTTTCTTTGATTCACGAGAGTGAGAGTCCATATTGGTGTGCAGACAGGAGTTTGGCCATTTGGAGTTTGTTGTAGAAATTCTGCACACTTACGGCAAAGTTTTAGCGTTCGCTATCGACAACGCGCCACATTCAGAAAAGGCAGTTTGTGAAGACTGATTACCTTGTCGCTATCCAATTTTTTTCTTGGGTCATGGAATTCAGTTCGACTTTTCAGTGCTGCAACAGAAAGATAAAGAAGTGAGCAGCAGCTGGCCGAAGGCAGAGCCAGGGTGGCAGGACTGCTGTGTGCTTGCCGAGCTATGCACAGTCTGGAAGTGATGGCCCCCATCAGGCCACAAGCAACAAAGAAGAAAGGCCTGGAGGACGCCAGCTGCCCAGAAGCCAGAGGAGACAGAGGAAGATGGAATTCAGTCCTAACCCAGGAGGAGCAGCCGAGGCAGGGTATGCGACAGGAGGAGGGGTGGTGTAGGCAGGCCATGCCAAGTTTCTGAAGAAACAGGGGTGGCTAGAAAAATACTCATTTAAGGGAGACACTCTGAGGGATAACAGATCCCCTCCCTGACTTTCCTGTGTCCTTAGTTCTAAAAGTGTGGTGGATGGTTGTGGTCCGGGGTGCCTGGGAATACTGGAGGAAGGAAGTGTACTTTGGATACAGAATGTGGCTGGTTGTGTCTGAGTAGCCAGCTGAGGGAGGGTGTTGAGTGGAAGCAGAGATTCAGATATGAGGGCTAGAAGGTACCATGGAGGCAGAGAGTAAACTCCAGTCCTAACCCTAAACAAAAAAGTGGGGGAAACTGAGGTCCACAGAAATTGACTTGTTCAGGGGCACACAGTTGGATCCTAGGTCCTCTGATTCCCTAATCTTTTTTCCAGGAGTGGTGTCCCAGCTGTTCTCCATCAGCAGACATGGGCTTCCCAGCATTCACGCCCAGTGGCACAGAGCAGCACAGGACAGACAGCCCATACCAGTTAACACTTCTGCCCTTCTCTCTGTGTCCTCCCCTGTCTTCTTGGAGAACCTCCTCACTGTGTTTCCATAAGCTCAGTGTAGCAAGAGCGCAGAGCACCCTTCCCCACATGTCTGCATTTTGTGTTGGCTTCCTGGGGACAGTCTCAGTTGGAAGCTGTGGAGAGCTATGCAGGCTAGCAGGGTGAATTGCATGTCTGGACATGTTTATGAAGTACATGGTCCAGCTTCTGTAAACACTCTAGCAGGTGTCCACTTTTAGGCCACATGCAAGAAAGTCGTCTTCCAAATCTTGAATTAGTTTTCTGGCCAGGTCAGTGTGTGTGTGTGTGTGTGTGTGTGCTTGTGCAGGAGCGAGTGTGACTCCAGTGACCTAGTGGAGATAAAACTGACATGATCTGGTAGGTACCAGAGTGGGGCTTGACTGTCTTACTTTCTGTGCAGGAGGCTGTTGGGGGTTGCTAACGAGGCTCTATCAATTTCCCTGCTTCCTTGCAGCATTAACAATGCTGACCAAAGGCCATGCCCAAATTGTCCCAGCTGGCTGCTAAGTACCCAATCCTGTTGACACTCTCCCTTCTCACTTTGACTGGAGCTACAGAGGATTTTTCTCAAAGGAAAAAAAAAAAGATAAATATTTAGCTTCAAGGTCACATTTCATCACCCTGACCTGGAAACAGATTTTCCGGCTTCTGTTTGATTGTCAGCTTCAGCCTTAAAACGGGCTCCTCAGCCATACTCACTCCTGTAAACACCCCCTTTCTTTCTCCTTTCTTCCCAGCCAAGCGATCCTCAGAAACAAATGTGGTTCATGCACTTTCTCCAACAAGAATCTGGGTACCCTTGGGAAGGAGGCTTGGCTTTTTTCGTATTTACTCCCTGGAAATTTACACTGCAAATGTCTGGAGTAGCTTCCCCCAAGCTGCCAGGTCACAGAGTGTACGTGTGTCCCTGTAAGGTGTGAGCTCTGCACCTCTGTCCCCTCACCTCGTGTGCATGGAACTAAGCATTGCATGAGAGGTATGGCTGAAATCCTTTCCTCTCCAGCAGAGGGACTGATTCTGACCGGTCTTTACTACGTGGTTAGGAAGAAGAGTTTTTCCCGGAGCAGCTCCCCAAAGAGAACAGTATCGATAATCTTCAGATACTGCCCACAGTCTAAACAAACATTTTAAAAATTTATTTTGTGATTATTGCATGTGCATTTTTATATGTGTGATGTGCACACGAAGGCATGTATGAGCAGGCACATGTATGGAAGTCAGAAGATGACTTTGTGGGGTCAGATCTCTGTTTTCAAACCTTGTGTGGGTTCTGGGCATGGGACTCAAATTGTCAGATTATTGTGAAGAAACACCTTTAGCCACAGAGCTGCCATGCTGATTCACAGGATTGATTCTGATTGGGCTTGAGCCCTGAGAGGAATTCCTGATTGCACATCCTTGAGATTCTCCAGGTCTCACTAGCGGGGTTTATCACTTCCTGGAGAAACACTGCATTTCCTGCATTGGATTTATTTTATTTTATTTTACTTTACTTTGGTCTTTTGAGACGGGGTTTTCCTGTGTAGCCTGGGCTGTCCTGGACTCCCTTTGTAGACCAGGCTGGCCTTTAACTCAAAGTGATCAGCCTGCCTCTGCCTCCCAGAGTGCTGGGACTACAGGCATGTGCCACAACGCCGGGCTCTGCATTGGCTTTACAAAGCAACAACTCAGTACTATGTCACTTCCTCTTCCGCAAAATCATTGACACGATCTAGTTCTGTGACTTTAGGAACACAAAGGTCTTCTAGAACCTTCTACCACAGGGTGGAGAGCCATGTCCACTTACTGAGGTCTTGGGAAGACTAGGAAGAGGTCTACATGCTGCCCTCATCGAAAGAGTGCTCTCTTCGGAGCTTGCCACAGGGCTGGATGTGCTCTGGGGCACTCACTCGAGGTCACAGTGTGGAAAGCTCCCCTGCAGTGTCCCTGGGGTTGAGGTTTGCCTTCTCTGTGACTCCAGAGAACGTGGGCTCTAGCTGTCTGCCCCACAGGCCTCCAGAAATAATAATGCCTCCCTCAGTTGATTTTTTTTTTCTTTTTAATACACTTCTGCTGCCAGCCCAGGGAATATCAAATGGCAAAACTTCATATTTAAAGGACCCTGACATTTAAGATGGAAAAGGAATTTGGGTTTCTAAATTAAAAAAATAAGTCCGTGTGATTTCAAATTAGAATCCGACTATAAATCCAGGCAGCCACACATTTGACTTGTTCCCCCTGGAGGAAGATTAATCGCTCCTCACAGGGGAATTCACGTTCTCGCCTCAGAATTTAGTCGAAGGCTCTTCCTATTTCTGTCCCTCCAGCTCCAGCTAATTTGGGTCAGCTGTGTGGATAAACATTCATCTCGATAAGAGCAAGCCTCCTGCAGTCCTTTCTGCCTCCCCCTGACTTCAGGCCTCCAATGGGGTCCGATGAAGAAAAGAGGCTGAAAAGGCGGAGAAGGCATCTTTTTGCACAGGGCTGGGCTTTGGTGCTAAGTGGCAGCCTGGCAGGCAGGCAGGCAGGCAGGAGTGTCACAGTGCTGGCTCCCCCTTACGGGATCTCTCAGGCAGAGGCCCTGGAACTTTATGCTACTCCACTAAATAGATACAGGTAGATGGCCAGAGCCCCCGGGGGCTGTGCCTCGGTATTACACGCAGGGGCCTCTGTACCACAGCCTCTAAAATTTTTTGGGGGGGGGGTGAAGCACAGGAATTTGTCTCTGAACAAACCCTCCAGCTGACGAGGATGTTCAGGTTTAAGAACACCTGCCATGGAGCTTGTAAGGCCAGTGAGCCCTTCTGAGGGCCTCACACAAACAGTGAGTCCTAAAGAGAAGTGCTGGACTGGGATTGTCAGGGGTGATTTTTCAGTACTGTAAAAAAGACGAGGCAGAGTCATCCCCAAGAAAGGATGCTCAGGGGAATGACACTGTCTCTTTTGTCATTGCTGCTTAGAGCCATAGCAACATAGTTTTAAAATGCTAGCTACGGTGAAGAAGCATTTGCTCCTAAACTTGTAACTCATTTATTAGCTGAAAAT